TGCAATGGCTGCCATGCCGAAATGGGGAGATTTCCCATGGAATGGCAATTCTCAGGGAATCTGTTTCACAGTGAGCTGAAGAAAAAAAAAAACTAAAAATTGCTTGGAAATAATCTTTTTTTTTTTTCCTGGCTAAATAACCAGATTGAAGCAGATTCTTTGGGATTAATACACGTCTTTACAGACCAATTACCTCCCATACGCGCACGCAGAGCGCAGCGCAACCCGGCCCCAAATTCGCTTTGTAGCTGTAATTTCCCACCCTGCGGGTCTCCAGCCCCCCGAAGGAAAGGGGCGACGCTTGGAAGGGCAGAGCCGGCAGCATGGGCTCCCCAGTGGACCTCCACAGTCCCTCCTGGGCCATCTCCATGGGATCGAAGGGGTCGGCGGGTGTCTGTGGGGCCGGGAGCATCCCCGTGGGGCTGGGAGCATCTCCACGGGGCTGGGAGCATCTCCACGGGGAATGGGGCCATGGCAGCAGGCTGCGGATGGACCGCGCACCCCTTCCTCCCCACGTCTCCAGGATGCGGCGTCTTTGGCCCGTTATTCTTTGCATCCTGGAGCTGTGGGGACAACGCAGGTGGAGGTGGTGCCCGAGGACTCGGTGGGTCCTTGCGCTTGTGTTGGCGGCCAGAAGGATGGATGGTTCACACCTTTGTACCTGTGCTGCGCTTTGCAGCATCTGCCCGTCTCTCTAGAGCCACCACCATGGACTCTCCACCACCACCACCACCCTGGTGCTTGCAGAGGCCTGGGCACCCTTCGTGGCAGTGGGCACAGCACTGCTGGCTTCCTCCAGAGCCCCACGCGTGCTCCGGACAGCGCCCAGCACCTTCAGCAAGGCCCTGCCGCATCACTGCCCCTCACAGAGCCATCGCTGAGACCACCTTTCCTTTCCAACGCGTCTCGCAAGAACCCCACGTCTTTCCTGGCCAGGAGCACGCGGGGAGCAGTCCTGGACCCTGCTGTCCCCGCAGATGCTGCAGAAACCACTGCAGAAGCTGGCGGTAACCACGAGGCCTTGCCTGGCGTTCAGGAGCTCCAGGTACTGCGGGAGGAACCGTCCCCACAGCCCAAGGCTGCCGATCCCGGCGGTGGAGCCCGTGCTTCGCCACCCCGCAGGCCTGGGGTCCGCTCAGGGAGGTCTCCATGGGCTTCACCCTGGGCGACCCGCTCCGCTCGCAGCTCCTGCACCCTGCAGGAAGCTGATTTCTCAGCTCCGCTCGCCACCCAAGGAGCCCGGTACGGAGGAGACCAGACCACACTTCTGGAGCACCCCAGAGGCAGAAGATTGCAGAAGATGCCCCCACCAGGGCACCATGGGTTATTCCTGCCCCAGGGCACCATGCTCGGGGCAGCCTGTGCACCATGAGAGCCAACACGGGGCTCACAAGATCCCTTCTATCCCCTCACATCCAAAGACGGATGCAGCGCCAGCAAGGGCAGGGAAAGAGAGGGGAACAGACGCACGAGCAGCACCAGGAGCGGAGGATCTGGCAGCAAGCAAGGGCAGGGCCAGCAAATAGGTGGAGAAGCGGGATGCAGACGGGGAAGGCAGGCTGGGAAGGAGGGAGCTCCGGCGGGGAGCGCGAAGGGCACGGAGCATCCTTGGGGCAGGGCGGCGGGACGCGGGCGTCAGCGGGGCGCGGGATGGGAAGGACGCGCTGCGGCACCCGGGATGCGTCCAGGATGCGCCCGCGGCACCGCGCAGCCCAGCGGGGTTTGGCTGCCGAGCGCGGCTGGAGCAGGCCCGAGGATGCTCGTGTGGGAGATGGGCCCCATGCTCGCTTCCCGCTTGAGAAGTTCCCAGCCCCTTCCCTGCTGGATGAGTTCCCCGGCCACGCTGCCACCGTCCCCTCCTGCGCGGTCCTGCCTGCCCATCTGCTCGCTGCCACCGTCTCCCGCTCGCTCCGTCCCCAGCGGTGGTGACCGCCGCGGCCGAACTGGCACCCACGTCGCCACCGCCGCGCGTCCCCTGCGCGCTGCAGCACCCTGCTGCCAGGGGGAGCGCAGCGTGGGTGTCAACACCAACTTGTCCTGCCCGGTTCTGAAGTTTGGCCCCGCGCACGAGCTCCAGGATGCAAAACGCGGAGCTGCATTCCCCCGAGAGCCGGGAGAAGTCGCGTCCTGCGCAGAGGCCATCGCTCCCCTGCAAACCTGCGCGGGAGCCTCCTAAGCCTCCACCCAGACCCTTCCCGATGGTCCCCCCCAACACCGCCCCATGCCACCAGGGCCGGTCGGGCTCCTACCTTCGCTGCTGGTGGCGGAGATGCAAGCGGCCAAGGCGACGACGGCGGCGAGCGAGGCCGCCAGGTCCCGCGGTGCCCGCGCCATGGCGCGGTGCGGGACGCGGCGGCTCGGGGAGCGCGCGGGAGCCGGGGCGCGCGCCGGCCCGTGCGGAGGCACTTTGCGCGCGGTGCTCGCGTGCCCACGGCGAGCGGCGCGGCGGGGAGGGAGCAGCGTGCCCGTCAGCGCTCCGCAGCCAATTGGAGCGGCGGGCTGCGCCGCGAGCCCCCCTTCCCGGAGCATCCCGGCCGGGGGCTCGGCTTCCCCCCCATCCCCGCAGCCTCCCGCCTGCCCCGCTCCGCTGTCTCGTGCTGTTTTGCTGCTGCTGAAACTGCAGCCCGCCGCTCCTCTAGCTCCCCGTCTTCATGGCAAGGAGGCGCTCGCCAGGCTGTGGGGAAAGCCCAACTTCCACCCCCAGCCTCGCACACCGTGTCCTGAGAGCTGTGGTGATGCTCCCTCTCCTTCTGCTTCTCCCAGGCCTCCTGCCCTGGGCCTCTTCTTATGGATGGTGGCGGAGGAGCTGGAGAGGAGGAGAAGCCCTGGGGTCTCTCTGCTGCTCTATGGAGAGCTCAGGCCCAAGGGAGGCAGATCTGTCCCTTGGTGATGGTCCCATCCCAGCACCCACATCCTCTCTGCTCGCCTTTGAGCTGGACCAGTGGGAGCCGAGGGCCTCCACCTATCTCAGGCTCTTTACAGCCGTGCTGGGGTTCAAAAGCAGCGTGTTGCAAGGACATGGCATCAAGGTGGTCTGCAAGACATGCATCTGGCATCTGCCCACGCAATTCCTGCTAGGCTCGTGCCTCCCTGGATTGTGCTCCTTGGAGGTGCTGCTGTTCTGGATGCTGCCTGCAGCAAAGCCCGCTGCTGTCAGTGTCTTCCTATGGTGAGCTTTCCACGTAGGAGTGTTCCCGAAAGATGGGTTCTCCTCTTCCAGAGGTGCCTGGTGCTATTGTGCATTGCATTTCGCAATGGCCTGGGATCTTAGAGAAGCTTCTGTGGTAGGCTCCCATTATGAATGACGAGGATGCTCTTATCTGAAAATGGGGCCCTTTTCCCTGTCAGGACCATAGGAAATCCACAGGACATTGAAGTGCATCCCTGGGGAAGCTCTGAGCAAAGTCTTGGGGTAAGAAATGGTGTTTGTTGCCTCAGCCTTTCCTGAGCCCTGAGCAAGGCATGCTCTCTGGCTGGTATCTCCTTCACTGATGAGGGTTTGGCTGCGTGTGGGCGAATGCTGACAAGGCCAAGCCGGAGCACAGGCCACGCAGCCCACAGAGCAGACACTGGGAAGGCATCACGCCGGGATCCCCGGCCCTTCTCTCCATCTGCGTGCCCCATCCCTGTTCCCATCACTTGTCACTGCCTGGGAGTCTGCTCTGCATCCAGCAGCACCCTCCCCTCCACCTCTCCCATGTCCCTTCAAGGTGTTTCTGCACCTGGTTGTCACAGAGGGCATCTGCAGAAGCACTTCTGGTAGGGGCAGGGTTCCCAAACTGGAGAACATTTTCCAAGTGGGGTTGATTGCACAAGCTGGCACCATGCTGACAATTGATGCACGTCTGCATGGCACTTCACCTACAGCAATACACATGGTGCACCAAAAACACTGAATCTAGCCACGTTGGATCAGGCCTGGTGCAGGCTGAGGGATGAGAGAACCTGGAGATACCCTTAGGTATATGAAGGACTTGAAGCATCCCTTCTCCAGCTCAGGATGTGTGATAAACACTAACAGGGAGGTACCCCAAAACGCTGGTAATTTTGATCCTGGGGACTCTCTTTCTCTTCCATCACAGCTCAGTATTCCAGTTCCTCATGGTAGTGTCCCCATGCAGTCCAAGCTGCAGTGTCCAAGCATTTGGCACCAAGTCTTCTCTCGACTGTGACAAAATGACATTTTTTGCCCCCAAATGCTTGCTCTTCTTGCTCAGCATTGAAGTCAACCACCTTGGGGAGAGGGTATCCCTGTGCACCTTCACCATCCTTGTTTCCCTGCTCCACAGCATGTGTCACGACAGGGCACGGCTGCGGGAGGTCTCACCCCACGCTGGTGGCCAACTGAGCAATCAGCACCCAATTAATTCAGGTCAGGGCGGGAAGGCCCAGTGAGCTTTTCTTCCTTGTCATTATCAGAAATGCTGTGTATTAATATCCTTTCTATTAAAAAAAATAATAATCTTATCATAATTTTGCCTCATTGAAGGAGATCGTTCGGAATTGGAATTCAGACAAACATAAGCCAGGAACGATAGCTGCAGAAGGGGAGAGTTTAAGAAAGGCCTTTTGGTAATATCCATCGTTCCCTTATCAGTGAGGATATTAAACGTATTGAAATGCTAAACAGCTCTTTAATGGCTGTCTCTGATTTTCATTAAACAAGCTGAGGATGAGCAGGAGGGAAGGGGATGCAGTGCTGTTCTCTCTCCAAGAAATTCTGATTGCTGGATATTAATGGTATTAATGCTCTTTTATCCAAGAACGCCCGCGTTGTGCTTGTCTCCTTGCCTATTTTCTGTCTTGCTAAAGTGAAGCTGAGATCCTGCTCCCGCAGGTGGGTGCATCACTGCTGCAAAGCTGGTAGAGACAGAGGTCTCGAGGCAATGTGAAGCAAGAGCATCCTCGAGGTTATAGGTGGTCCTAAAGGCTATAGGTGGTCCTAGAGGTTATAGGTGGTCCTACAGGACCAACAAGGAAGAAGGGCCTAAATGAGGAGGTCTTTGCTAAACTCAGGAATCATCCCTTAGCTTCCCAAAGATGCGACACGGTCAAGTCCAAGCTCTTCAAAGACTTATCAGGAAACAAATCGCCCAGATTGGGTGCTAAAATGACATAATAGCCGCAAATACAGCTTGCTATACAGCTCCCTCTTGGTTTTTAACATTGATTAAATTTCAGCTTTTTCTTCCTTCCTCCTCATCTTCCCGTCCTTGTTTTTTTTTTCCTTTTCTCCTTTCTCCTCCACAATTTGCAGTCTCCCATCTCCAGGGCTTTATCCTGCATGGATAGATGAGTCGTTTCATTTCTGCCAGATGGTGGTGATACCTCCACTCCCGTCCCCTGCCACCCGCCGCCTTCTCCTCTGTTTGCAGCCATCTCACAGCAGGTCACCCTTTCTCCTCAACACTTTTATTTAGGTACACAGTCAAGTTTTGAGTACCTGAGGTGACTCTTCTTCAGTTCTGCCTTTTTCCATCTCAAGCCCTTAAACCTGCAGAAGGACAAGACCTGCTGCTGCAGCAGAAACCAGCCAAAAGTCTGGGGACCAGCGGTGAGATGGAAAGTCACCATGGTACACTAGCCATCTCCAGGGACCTTCAGCCTGTCTCCAAAGCGCCTTCCATTGAGTCTCCTCACCCTCATCCATAACAGATAACAGGGATAACAGAATCCCAAGCACAAGCAAAACCCTGGTGCCCATGGCTTGGCTTTGAGATGGGCAGGAAACATCTCCAGCCTCCCTCTTAGGTATCCTTCGTGTTGCAGACAAAGCACGCTGATAGCTGCCTAAATGCTCGGCTTTATTTCAAGTGCTTTGTTTCTGCTGGAAGTGGAAATCTCAAAGAGACTTAATTACAGCGCCGGGCAGACGCAGGCATAATCCTTTTGAAAGCCTACAATGAGGCGGGCGCTCCAAAATTAATTGTGACGCTGCAAAAAGTGCCAAACAAAGCTCCAAACAAAGCTCCACGTAAAATGGGGCAAGTGATTGGGGAACAATAGCTAGAGGAATGGTAACACCCACCGCCACTTCAGTGCTCAGCCTGCCTTGGCCCTCTGCAGAGAGGGGCATGGGGTAAGGATGAGCTGCTGGCACAACTGCTCCTTACTCAGATCTTGCTTGGAGAACAAGCTGGGGACCTGTCCCTGCCTCCAGTTGCCTTAGGAAATTTGGGAGCGGACCACCAACCTGCAAAGGTGATAATGACAATGGCAAAGGAGAGTCCCAAGCTAAGGTTTTCTCCTCCAGCATGGGTTGCATGCCCTGCAATCCCCTCCTACAGCTTTAGTCTTAATATTTGCTCTTTCCAGTGATTAAGTTCAGTTACGTGAGGGTCCGTGTCACCAGCCAGAGTTATTTATCACATCATAAAAGGCTCTATGATAGCTCTTTGGAGGCAACGTCCCGCCTGGGAGCTGTATCCTCTTGTGTGGGATGCTACACGGAGGACTATTTAAGGAGAGCTGAAGCCACAGACCCAGCTCTGGCTATAAAACAAAGTTATATATAACTTGGTTACCTTGGGTAACCTTGGGGAATTGCAGACTAATTTCCTCAAACATTCACTTCTCCACCTTATTTCACTGAGATTTAACTCCCTGTGAAGCATGAGGGCTTGGTGAAAAGCCCTTCATGAGTTCAAAGGTCAGCAGAAGATGAACAAACAAATTGAGATTTTGTAAAGGGCTTCTGTTTAATTAATACTGTCTCGGAACTAATTAACGGTTTTGCTTGGAAATTGTCAGAAATGTAATTTATGTTTCGAGGGTAAATGGCAAAGGGTCAGAGAGGACACACTATATATTTCACATGGAAGAAAAGGGCTCAGACCCAGGAATCAGCCATGGACTACATCCAGCCCTCGGCCCGGAGCTGGAGCAGTGCTCTGGGAAGGACCATTGTGTCACCACAATAATACCAGCACAAGCTGGTTCCCTCTCTGAGCGCCCCCAGCTAACAGGGTCAACTCAAAGCTCATGGAGTCTTTACAAATGTTCTTTACACATACTTCTAACCAAGCTAATTATTCAGGTCTCTCAACACGTGACCTACATGAGGCGCCCCAAGACAGATTTTGGGCAACTAGAGTTGCTTTTAAAGAAGTTCTACTGCCAGATCCACCTGTCCTGACTTTGACATGCCCTGAGGGTCTCTCATTCCAGTCTGATCACTGAAACCTTCACGGATGGAGCCACAGACTCTGTGCAACTTGACCATCCCATCCAGCCACCCAGGAGAACATCCTCTAAGGTCTTCACCTCCTTTGGTCCCCCAAGCACAGCACTCACCTCTTGGGATGCTGGACTGGTTGATGGTGCTAGTACAAGCAGGGTCTTCTCCGGTCAATGGCTCGCTCAGCCACCATCCACACGTAGCAAAGAGAAGTCTGCTCATTGTGATCAGGTGTGGCTCCTTTTGTAGAGGCACTTTCTGCCTCCTTCTCAAATACACATGCTCAAAAAAAGTATATTCCCTTGGCCTTGAGACTCAGAGACCATTTGCCTTCTGCTACAGCACTGCCCGTCACTCTTTTGAAGAGTTCATCCAAGTTAATAGCATGGTCACCTTCTTCTTTATCCACCCCTTGCATCTGCTGGTGCTTGCAAACTCCTGCATTTCCTGCGCTTGCCCAATACTTAAGGCTCACTCTGATTTCTCTGCTTATCACCGTACCTGCAGCTTCCAGGTGCTGCTTTGGCTTCATTGCTGCTTTCAGATCTGCTCTCATCTCTGCTGTGGGTCACTCGCGTGGGGTCAAGTGTTCTCAATCGTGTCTGTGAAGGCGATGCACGACCCACTCTTCAAAGTCATCGCTTTAGATGGGGTAACTTGTCAATGCTTGGCAAATTCTAATTGCACTGCCTAGAGCTAAGTGCAACCAGAGCTCACCCTCTCTTTCCCTCTCCCTTACCTCTTCCCTATCCAGTCACAAGCTCTCCCACCTTTTCTCCTTCTTTCAATATATACTCTGATTAAAAGCATGTCCTACACATTCTGTTTTTCCACGGGGACCCCGTTTATCCTCAGATTTCTATGCTGCACTTTTGTAATTAGCTTCCTCAACCTGAGTCAACTGAAAACTATTGCAGTCAAATGTCCAAAATAAAGCTACTTCCTTAACACCTTCCTCTTTTCACTGCAACTTGCTCACAGGTGTAGTGAGAAAAGCTGCTTGAACCTTCACTGTGCCAGGGAAGCCCAACTCCGGGTGAATGTTAGCATCCTCCGATGGACCAAGCTCAGGAGTAGGGCCTGACTCTGGGGTTGTGGCTGGGAGGTGCACCCCAGCCCTAGAGCACGTGGAAATTTCAGCCCTCAGCTCAGGCTCCAGCTGCTCTCCGAGAATCACCCTGTGAGCCGTGGACCAGGGTTGCACAGGCTGGGCTGGGATTGCAGCGACAATTCCTCGGAGGGCACGTGCCTACGTGGCTGAGGTTCTCAAGAGTGAAGCGTAACGAGCTCTAACCAGCCAGCTAAAAGTTACATCGCTGCTTGCAAGGCTTGTTCAGTCTCTAACAGCAGAGATCCCTACAACATCTCCCAGGCTGGGGCTTCCCAAAGCACTTTTTTTTCCTCCTTTAACCATCAGAAAATGCTGCTACTAGAGAAACTTTTTTTTTCCTTTTTTTTTTTTTTTTTTTTTTTTTTTTTTTTTTTTTTCTCTCCTTTTTTTTAATTGATGGAAGAACCAAGTGCAGGAAGGAACCTGACTGCGGGTTTGGGGAGTCTATCTGCTCCCCCAAACCTTGCAAGGACCGTGCCCTTGCACACAGCAGGAGAGAGATGCTGAGGACACACCACTTCCAAGGGTGGCATTCCTTAGGGAGCAAGGGTAGGGACCGCTGTGGTCCTTTGGAGCTGCTTCCTGGCTTCTATGATTAGCAGGGAACTTGGATGCTGGCTGCATCGCTCAGAGCAAAGCCTTTCTGCCCACGTCATGGCTGGGCTGTCAGGTCTTGGTTGGAAAGATCGGCGAAGAAACACAGCGGGTTCCAGCCGCAGGCAGGGCTGGTTGGACCCCCGGGATGGACTGACAGACAGGGCACGGAGCTCATGTACCAGCCAGGGTCCCCCGATGCGTGCAGGGTCTGCAGGCACTGCCCTTGGCCATCGCAGGCCCGCTCCGGGGCTGTCAGCATCTTGTCAAGGACCCCTTGACAAGAGCGCAGGGGCAAGGCAAGGCTAGCTCCTCCTGGAGCTACCGCGGGGACACGGTGCAGAGCACAACCCAAGGGTTTGGGGACGTCACTGTGGGGCCTGCTGCCTTGGGGGTCTTCCAACCCCATCTGCTGCACGGGGCAGGGCTGGGAGCACCCACCTCCTCATGTACCTGACGCTCCAGCTCTGCAATGGTCCGTACGTAGGGATTCCGGGATGTTGAGCCTATGTGAGAGGGGTGAAGGAGCCCCACGGGGTGCAGGGCCGGCCTCTAGCTCAGCTTAGGGATTAATCACCCCTCCCCTGCCTGCAGGCTTGTTTGCTGCTCCAGCCAGGGCTAGGGAAGATAATTGCTAGCGATAATTTATTCATTAGGGCCTTCTTTAACCGTTTAGCCTGTCTCTAATTAGAAAACAAGGAGCAGGTGGTCTCTCTGAGGCGGTCTCTTCCCCTGCAAGGAAGGTTTTCCATTGGCAGCGCCCCTGTCTAAGCAGGACAGGAGGCAGCAGCACCGCCAGTGGCTCTGCAAGAGGAGGAGCTCAGCTGCACCCCAAGAGCCATCGCCAAGTTCTCCCCAGCGAAAGAGGGACCTGCGGATGCTCCAGGGCTTGCAAAGGGGAGAGGCCGAAATGCAACCCAGACTTGGGCAGGACGGAGCGCCGCGGGGGCCGGCGGGCTCCCCGTGCCCCTGGGCAGCCCCCGGCTTGGCAGGATACCCCAGTCCCAAACGCGCAGCTCGCAGCTGCTCCGTGCCTGCCAGGCCTCCTGCTGGGCACCAATCTTCATCCCTTTGAAACAGGCATTAAAATACATGAGCCGCACTCTCTGGCCAGGGCTCCCAGCACTGGATAATTGCTTCTTAAGTGCTTTCTAAATGCAAACCGCATGTCACTCTTACCACCACCGCCACCTCCACGGCACCCAGCCTTTGATCTTCTGCGTGTCCTGACAATATTGCAATTACCCCGTCAGTGTCGGGACTTGGAGGCCGGCAAGCGCAGGGATGAGCTTGGACCGCTGATCCCGTCCTCTCTCTGATGGAAGCAGCCACAGGAGTCCTCCGTGCTCCATCGCGGCCAAGCCCCAGTGGGTCAGGGACATCAAGGTGGCTTGGTTTGGCTGAGCAGGGCTGGGAAAACCTTGGGAGATGCTTGGGGGGTGCAAGGGAGTAGGAGAAGCCCTGGGATCGTTCCCATCCCCGTTGACTCTGTCTGGTCCAAAGAGCCACGGTGCTGGTGCGGAGGGTAGGAATTGCGATGGAAATACCATGCAAAGCACCACCCGGCAGCACGAGAACCCTCTGGTCCGTTCTGATAGCAGCCCCAGGGGAAAAAAAACCCTAATTAAGTTGTGTGCTGGTATTGCACCTTCCTTGCGGACCACAACACTGCCGAAAGCATTGCCACGAAGGGCCAGGCAGGGGAAAAACTACTGCTCCTCACTGAATGTCAGCACCGAGGTGCAGCTTCCCGCGGGGGCTGCGGGGGGAAAGGGGGGGACCAGTTTTTGTTATTGGCTGGCACTTAGACCCGTGTGCCTGTCCCCAGGGCAGACCTGACAGTCGCTGCTCCTCCAGGGTAGGACGGACAGCATCTTGAAGCCTCAAGGGAGCCACGGCATCTTCTCACACTAGGGATCGGTGACAGCAGGGACATGCGAAGAGCTCATCTTCATAGTCTTTTAAAGGACCTGCCTCTTCCCCGAGCCCTTCACCCACTCACCTGTGCACTGAGTTACCTGTGCTCAGCTGGGGCCTGCAGAGGAGCTCATTTGAACACAACCCCGTCTCATTCATGGCCATCTCCATTGCACTCTGCTCTCTCTCATTCGCCCCTCTCAGACTAAAGAGCTCATTTCTCCTCTCTCCTCATGTGGAAACACTTCCCCACCCATCTCCCTGCCCGTGATTTCACTTGTCGCCCGAATCCGCTGTGACGGAGCTCCACACCCAGCAGCTCCCCATGCATCCCCGGGCACATTGGCACATCTTGCCTCGTGATGGTGTGTCTCATCTTAATGCATGTGGAAAAACTCATTTCCTCCCTTTCAACAGAGACGCCGTTCCCCCGTAAGAGCTCACCCCTGCAGTTCACAGGCCCACCTTTCCCTAACACCGAGGGAACACACTGCAGCCGGCTTCCTTCTGGTCTCCAGCGATCTTCTGCTCAACCTTGCAGCCCCGCTTCAGCTTCTTCCTTCGCATCCTCCAGTGCTGGGAAAGGAAGACACCCCAATCTCCTCTCCATAGTTTCCCCAAAAATGCCCTTGGCAGAGCAGTGACTGAAGCCATCTCGGCTCCCAGGCAGCATCTTTCCCACGTGTGACATAGCGGGTGGCTTTCCCATCTGTGTCCGGCCCAAGTGCTTGCAGTGTCGGCATAGAAAACACCTAGGCTGGCGTCTTCCTGATAACACTCCTTTTTTTCCCCTTTTTTTTTTTTTATTTTGCAAACAATGTCACACTTCCTATCTGACAGGAATCTGCAGCATTGCTCCGGCAGTTCTCCAAAGTGGTAATTTAACCCCAGACACACTGGTGTGAGCTTGGGTAATTATATCTGGAGCCGAGTTTAGCTCTGCAAGGTCTGTAGGTGTTACAGGTGCTCTGTCTCAGCAAGTTAGGGGGATTAGATACATCATCCTCTCATGAGATGGTGGCTCTGTCGCGGAATATAAATCAGCCTCTTTTCTCCAGGCTGACGTGTTGTCTTCACATGACTCCTGGAGCACAGTGCAGAGCTTTGCATTGAGTTTTCCCTTTGACTGTCCACAGCGTTGGTGATTACAGCTGCTCTTTGGGGTCTTCTGGGCCATGGCCAGCTGTGAGGTGGGTTTTCTCTGCAAGATGTGAACGCATTTTGCCCCAATTTCACCAGCCCGAAGATGATGGGGCTCCTCCATAAGCAACCTCGTTAGCCAGGCAAAGCTGGGAGGATGTGCTGGCCTTGAAGGCAGTGTGGAGAGATGCTGATCTCTCCAAAGGACAGATCCTGCAGGGATGCCCTTCTGGGTCCTTTGTCCAGTGATAAATGGACAAGCTTCCAGATAACTGGGATGGTTGCCCGGCAGACCCGCCACCTGCAAGCATTGCTCACCATGCCTGAGCTGGGCACGATGAAGAAGGTGGCACCACAATGGAGAACCTGGGGCAGATGTGGTCACCAGCATGAGGGTGACACCTGCATTAGCCTCCCTCTTCACCACCCCACCACATACGCCACCAGCCCCGGTGGGGTTGACAGGAGACCTTCCTGTGGCAAAGAAAAGAAACCTGCTCCTCACGCCAGGATCCCAGGAGAAAAAGAAAAAAAAATGGTGTGTGTGTGGGGGGAATTTCCCAGGGTTGGGGACAAAAATACGGGCAGGGAATGGAGATGTCGGCATTGCAGGTTTTCAGGCTGAGCTCTCAGTGCCTAATGGAAAGAGATGCTCTTTGACCACAGTGGGGATGAGCT